GGCTTCCCACCTTCCTTTCGGTGGGGCTCAGTCCCAACCCCGTTTCCGTTGTTCTCATTAAGTCAAATATGTAAAGACCTTCAGTATCGATTGGTTTAGGGATCCTAAATCACCATTTTAAGAGTGAAAAAAGAATCCTTATTAGTCGTTGGATACACCAGTGACACTCTTGGTTGCTGCGATGACTCTCTGACACCCCCTCTTGCGGATCAGAAATGGCCCACATCTGTCTAAGTCTGGCTGAGCCCGCAAACAAGGACTTCCGGCCAAGCAGTTCCCATCCCCAAATAGGAAGGAGGGGCTGGGGGGCCCGGAGGCTGCATATTTGGCCTCAGCCGTCAGGGGTGAACCTAACCTCCCTGCGTCAGGCCCTGGGTAGAGCTTGGAGGTGACCCCACGTGCACTTCTGTATTTGCTGTGCAATCGCCTGACCTCGGTGACATGTGTGGTCACAAAGTCCCTGGGCTACTTGCCTAGAGTAGCTTCTTTCAGAGAAAAATAACTGTGCCTACCTACTCAGTCTATTTTTTCTTTGAGTTTTTTCAAGTGTCACAAGCCTTACGGAATGCAGTGGCCCCCTGTGGCTTTGCATCTGTCACAAACACCCCCTCGCGTTCTCTCTCCGAACAGCCTTCTGGTAACTATGGAGCTGGTACTCGAGGTGGAAATTCAGTCTTTCCTCTTGTTTCTACCTTCCTCCCGTTCCCATGAGACCTTCACACAGGTTCATTCCTTTACAGGTTTATTTCTGGTGAATAAAAAAAAAATAATTTATGCGATTAGATAAATTAATGTACGTGATGAGACATCATAATACAGGGCAGAGCTTAGCTTTCCTGTTTTCTCTTGGATCCTGCTGGTTGGTGAGAGGAGTCTGGGTGAGGCCTCACGCTTTGTGGGGTGCGGAGACGCTGACAAAGTGACTCCCGTCACTCATGGATGCTTTGCGGAGGGCGAGGAGGTGGGCTCAGAGGAAGGCCCAATCCAAACCTCTCTTCCAGAAAAGCAGCAGCTCTTCTTCGTAGTGTGTTAAAAAATCAGTCCACAGCAGCTCTGTCACACTCTGTTCCCAATGGTCGTAAACATGACATACCAAGCACAGGCTCAGAAAGACAGAGTTGTCTCATTTTAAACATGGTGCCTGGGCCTCCTTTGGGAAAGATGCCTTCCCCAGCAAGTGTCACCTCGAGGCCAGCACTGTGGAGAAATGGGACTTGAGCCACTAGCACAGTTGTCAACGTCTTTTGCTTTCTGAACGCTGGGACCACTGCCTTTCAGCCTGAAGTGAACATTTTCTCTGCATTTCTTGGGTCTGGTAAGGCTCTTGGAAGCAGCCAGCCTTGTGGTCTACAGAGGGTATGTTTCCTCCAGGAATCTGGGAGTGGAACATGCTGGTAGTCTATACCAGGCTCTTAAAGCCAGAACTCCTAAGCTGGGAGAGAAGATTTGGTGGACCATCTGCCAAGGAGGAAACCGAGGCTCCTCAGGAAAAGGCTTGTGAGTTCTCCGGAACAGACCGCGGCTTGCTCACCGCCTTTGCCCTGTGCCTGGTTCTTTGATGAGGTTTGGCCTTGGGATCACTTTGGATGCAGGGCTCATCTTGTAGAGGGTGGTGAATTGGGGGTGTTTGTTTTTGAGTCAAGGTCTTACTCTGTCACCCAGGCTGGAGTGCAGTGGCCTCATCACAGCTCACTGCAACCGCAGACTCCTGGGCTCAAGGGATCCTCCTGCCTGAGCCTCCCGAGCAGCTGGGACTACAGGCATGTGCCACCACACCCGGCTAATTATTTAATTTTTTGTAGAGATGGGGTTTTGCTATGTTGCCCAGGCTGGTCTTGAAGTGCTGGTCCCAAGTGAGCCTCCCAAAGTGACAGGATTATAGGCATGAGCCACCATGTTCAGTCTGGGTTATAATTTTTTTTTTTTTTTTTAATAAATTAGGAATAGGCTGAACTCATTGATAGAACACCTAGAAAGCAACCTATGAGAAGCTCAAAGGGGTTTTCCATGATACAAGAATATGCTGGCAAGGCCGCAGGTGGCTCACTCCGTGAGGCCTGAGCGCAGATGCAGGCTGGGCAGCTGCCCCTGTAATTAACCTGGAGGGCTCTTGATGACCGACTGGAGGAGGACCCGTGACTCGAGGTACCTGCCTACGCAGATTGCCAGGGCCACACCTGACTGGGCACCGGCAGAGTTTAAACAAGGGCTGTTTGTTTAACCAAACATGGCCTTAGCATTCTTATCCAAAGACTTTTGAAAGGCAGAACCAAGCAAAATCCAAATTCTCCAATCACTGGGTAGTTCTGAAATTCAGTCCAGTTTCTTTTTTTGACCATCAGAAACAGCATTTCTGGGGACAAAGACCAGTCCAGGGATTCAAAGCCTAATCAATGTTAGTTCTCCTTATGGGGCAGAGGGAGGCGAGAAGGGACACACATCCACACAGCTGCTCCGCCTTCACACAGAGAGACATATTTCTATGTAGATCCAGCCCTGGGACCATTTTTACCTTGAAACCACCCTCTTGTTAGATGCCTTGGGAGTCCAAAATGCAACTTGCACCTACGTTATTTCCCTCTCAAGAACCAGAAGCCCTCCTCGATGCCATGCAGGGACACCTGCAGCAGTGCCTATTAAATAACGCCCAAAGCACAGCCTTTCAACTATTTTATGAAATGAGAAAAGACCAGGCTGGCCACCAGACTATTCACATACACACATGCAGGGTGGACATGGAAGGGACGGGCAAAAAACCAGGACCACACCAGGTGACGACTGGAAATCTAGTTCCCAAAAGCTCCTAGCAGAGAAAAATTCCAGACAGGAGGGTCTTTATATAGGTCCTACAAAAATAGACTTTCTTCTGTGCCTGTTTCTTTACAGGTATAAAGGACAGGCTTTTCTGTTTGGTTTGTCTCTGGAGGTTTTGCTGGTATCAAATGCAGTAGAGGTTTTAAATGACTGTGAGGCAGGAACGAAGAACTCACTGCCTGCCCTGGCCTCGCTCCTGGGATGTGGCAGGGGACAGGCAGAAGGGAAGAGGGGCAGCTGCCTGGGCACCGAGTGCAGAAACAGAGGGTGGGGTAGGCTGGGCCATGGAGGGGCTCCCCAGCGTCCTGCTGCACAAGATCACCAACACCTCTTGACTCTGAGCCTTTGGGTCTGATTCTTAAGAGTCTCAGAAAGCACCTTGTCCCCTTCCCCTGTGTCCAGCTCAGGGCAGGCATGAGGAGTTACAATAGCCCCGCTCCGAGACGGTGAGCCAGGAGTTAGCTTGTCCTGGAGAGGCCGGGTGTCCAACAGCTGCCGCCATCTTTAGAATCGGTACCTGGATACCTTCACTCCCCACCTACTCTCTCTACTTGCTTTCTATTTACACTGTATTTCCTCTTTCTACTGGTCTGGAAAAAATTCTAATATGTGCAGCACTTCAATTATCTTATAAATATGGGAATCTGTCAAAAGTTTAATTACATATTTTAAAACCATGACATGGGCTAGGGTCTGCTGAAGCAAGATCACTGGGCAGGGTCTAAAGGTGGTATCTTTTGAGGACCAAGGCACCAACCTTAGCCCTGGGTGGAATTTTGGAACTCCAGTGGATGAAATGTGAGACGGGATACCAGACCATTACAGACAGGTGGAAGAACTGCCTCCAACAGCTACCAGCTTGGACAACCATGTACCTCCATGAACTCTGCTCTTCCCCTCATACATTTTTTCAAAGACTCTTGCTCCCTGGCATTAGGATCTACCCCACAAGCCACTCATCTTTCAGGTCCTGTCTTGGGTAAAGGCTCAGATGAAAGGTAAATTCAAGGTCTTAAAATGCCCTTTTTAAAAAGAGAGGGATCTGAAAAGAGGAGGAAAGGAAAGAGGGGGAATGATATGAAATCCTAGAAGTGTGGCACCCAGAAGACAAATATTGAATGTCTTCACTTACGTGGTAATAAGCAAAACTATCTTGTTAAAGGTTCACATTGATTTTAGGATGCATCTGGTTTTTAGGATATTAAGACAGAAAAAAGTCATCTTGGGATGGAGGACAGGTGGCAGATTTTTAAACAGATGCCTCCCAATCCTGAATTCTGACCATTTTGAGAGCAGAGAAACCACTGTGGGACCTGAAGATAAGTCACGAGGAAGTTCTTTATTCCCGCTGGATCCCCGCCCCAAACACTTACGAGGGGATGTTGCACTGACCGTCAGCTGGGAGACGTGGGTTTGGTTGGATGAACCCACATGAACTGAAACGGCTTCTGCAGAAGAAGCAGCCCACATGTTTTATTACAGCCCCTGCTCACCAAGCCCTGATGGCCTCCCACAACTCTGCCCTTTGGATTATGGAGGAAAAAAAAAATAATCGTTTGATTTTCTGGGCCACAGAATACAAGAAGGGTCTAGATTGTACAAGGAGTTTACACACAGAGGCAGGGAAGCGTGCAAACGGGAGCAGGAATTCCACACCCCGTGGGTGGGCCAGTGCTCCAGACGTGGAAGGAGGCCCCCAGCGCCCCTTCCAGAGTCCACACAGGTTTGTGTTTCTGGCTTTTATTAATCATGTCCGACTCCAACTTCCGTCTTCTCCTGGGTATCCATGAAGATCTGTGACATCATCGACTTCCTCCAAGCCATTATTTTTTTCCTATTACGATTTCATAAGGTGGCCCAGGAGCAGGCCTAGAGAAGGACCCACACAAGCAAAAGTGTCTGAGAACGACGTAATACTGACTTCTCTTTTTTGGTAACAGTCCACGAAACAGGTGTCCCTCTCTCCTGAGACACAGTGAGGCATGAGGGGAGGCGGCGGAGGAGCTGTGGGTGGGACACTGTACCGTGAGACATCACATCATGCAGCTGGTGCCACGGGACAGAGACGTGAGGACGGGCACTCGGGGCTCCGGGCTCACCCGGGGGCAGAACCTGGCCTCTCGGGAGCACTGTCTGTCCAGTTCAGGCAGAGCCATCCCCTGGGGCTCGCCGTCTCGGCTCTGGCCTTAGCCCTCGTCCTCCCTCAGCTCTGTGGGTAAGAATTTATACTGCTGCTGGCGGATCTGAGCCAGTTTTTTCCTTGCTTCTTCCAGTTCTCGCTCCTTCTTTAGCATTTCTTCCTGCGCGGCGATGATCTGGAAGGAAAGCAACGAGCCGAATGGATCTAACGCTTTCTAGGAAACCACCCCGCACCATTGCTTGTGTCATGAGCTCCCATAGCCACTGCTACAGGGGGACACAGCAGTGCCCAGGAACAGCATTCTTAGCTCTGGAGACCAGCCTTTGTGTCATAGTTTGGGTTTTGAAACTAATGACCCAGCTGACTCAAGAAAACAAACTGGGACTCTGGCCACTGATTGACAACAAACATCTACTGCACCCCTACTGTGTCCTAGCCTCTGGTGTAAGCACTTCACATGGTTTGTCCTATCACCTTCGTGGCAACCCTGTGAAGTATGCCCTATTAAAAGCCCTATTTTTCCAATAAGAAGTCTGAAGCTGAGAGATGTGGGTCCACTTCCACCCAGCTAGTGGGACCAGCTACTGGTCCAGGTGTGCTTAAACCTAGCGCTGGTGCCCTTAACCACTCGACGGCCTTCATCTATTTATTGCATGCTTCTAAGGCGTGCTCTGAGCAATACTAGCTAGTATGACAGGTCCTGTGTGAAACGGGTGTGTATTCAAGAAAGCCAAATAAGTGCCCTCCCTGTGGGCTTTTTCAGAGCCTTTTCTGGGCTAATGAGCATTGTTACTAAGGTAGGGGTTTAAGTACAGTATGACCCTTCTTTGTGGAACACATTCTGCTAAAATGCATCCAGTCCATTAGCCGAACACAGCAGGGGGGTCAGGCAGAGCTAAGGCAGGCACGGGGAATGAGTAACCTCAGTGTTTCTAGAGCTGATGAGACAGTCTTGTATAATGGATTTATATTGACACACATTAAAACTGCAAGCCTGACTGCCTAGAGTTTCCTACTTGCTCGCATACATGAGAATGCAACACTGCACGGGTCACAATCCCTCTTGCTCTTGTAAAAGTCCTGGGAGAGGGTGAGCATTCACTCTCTCTACAGGGCCAAATGTCTGGAGTGAGCAGTAGCTCCAAATGCATCATTTTATTTAAATGATAACATTGCCATCCTCCAACTTTTGTTCTTCTGCTTTTCTATAATAGAATCCTTGATTTTTAGCTAGGCAAATGCTACTCAGAGGAGAATACTCCATTTCCCAGCCTCCTGTGCAGCTAGATTGGCCACGTGACCAAATGCTGACCAGTGGCATGTGAGAGGAAGTGACGTGTGCAACTCCAGGGTCAGGCCCTCCCCTCCTTTCCCTCTTCCTGCTGGATGGAAAGTGAGGTGGCTACTGAGCCATCTTGGACCAAGTGGCCAAGAGCGACATCTCAGGGATGGTGGAATAAGGTGGCGGATGGAGTCTGGTCTTAGCCATAGAGGGGACACCACACTATCCCTAGACTGCTTACACTCAGACTGTTACATTTTGCTTAAGTCACTGTTATTTTGTGTCTCTGTCATAACACGACGCCCATCTCGGGAGTAAACACTGTTCTGGATTTAATCACAAACCTGGGCAATGCCCCCCACAAACTTTGTTTTCACTACGACATCGTCATCATCGGCTTTGCCAAATGCTGCCTTCTGGGCTGCACGAACAAGATTGTCTGAGGCTCTTTTCACAGCATTTCCTGCTGCCTGGAGAGTGAACAAAACACACATTCTGTCGTTAGAAACAGCTGTTTGGGACTGGCAAGAACAGACATGAAGGTACAGTTCAGGAGACGCTGAGTGAACTTATCACTCCACTGTAACACACAAGTTCTCCCCAGCCAGCAAGTACCATCTGTTTGTCCATCCATCCCCCGACTCTACCAACATGGGCACCTACCTAACTACTGGTCATTCTCAGATGAATGAGACATAGTTCCTGGTCCCCAGGGAACCCAGACTTTTGAGGGGAATTACAGTAATGTAAATAAATGACTGCGGCAATGTGACACGTGTGTTAACAGAAGTATGTGCAGGGTCTGCCTCCTTGGTCTAGAAAACCACCTCCCCCTGCCCCCATCCAATTTAGCACGTGCTTGAAGACTCAGCTCACACATCACTTTCTCCCGTCCGCCTTGGCCCTACCCACACCCTCTCCCTCAGTGCTCCCTCCTGAACCGAGGGCAGGGACTTGAATCTTGGCACCCCCAGCACCTGGCTGGCACGGTAGCTGCTCAGAGTTGGTGCTCCCTGAAGGCTTTTTGAGGGAACAAAGGGCATAAGGGAGACAGCATCTACCCCGTGTGGAAGGGCTGGGAGCCTCATAGTAACTGGGCCTTCACAGATATACTCTTAGAGTCACGGCTGGGCTTTAAGCCGCAGGCTCTAGGATGGGACAATTGCAAGAGACAAGTGAAGAAAAGCTTTTGACGTGAAGTCTAGATCTTCATTAAGGGCTATCACCCACACTGGCTTATTCTTAATGCTCATGAAGCATGGTCCCAGGGGTCTGTTCTCAGCTGAGGTTTAGCATTTTCTTTTAAAGGTGGTTAAAGCCTTCATTAAACCTCTTGTATTCCTTGTTCATACTCTTTCGGAGTCAAAGGCTTGTGCCTGAGGTTTGGCCACCAGAAAGGTGAGAGTTCTTCTCATTCAGAGTTAACTGGCCCATCTGGCTGGTGATCTAAAGTGACCGAGGGGCACTCTGAGGGCTTGCACAAGAAGGGAAGGGGAAGCCAATCAGTATTTGACAAGCAGTCACCATGTGCTTTTTCTCCTATGGGTTTATGAGGTCAGAAATCATTAGCCCACTTTTCTGATGTGAAAACTGAGGTTAAGGACCTAAGATCCTGTAGCTAGTAAGTTACAGAGCTGAGATTTGAACATAGGTCTGTCCCAGCCCCAAAGATCCCCTGAGTCATTTGTAAGGGGCTCAGACATGACATTGCAGTGGCCAGTTAAATTAGTGACGATGATAACAAGAGTGATGCTGCATTGTACCTGTGTAAATCCTTAGGACTTAAAAAAACACTTTCATATCTGTTACCTTATTTGACCCTCGTAAGAGTCACTGAGGATATCTCTATCCCCATTTTACAGATAAAGCTCCTTAGGCCTGAAAAGTTCTGGGTGATTTATATAAGATCATGAACCTAAGACATGGCAGGGCTCTCTTAATTCAGGATGTTTTCCCCAGAAATGCCCCCCAAACCCAGAGGTCACACATTCACTAATATGCAGCTCCCTCAGTTTTCCCCTGGGTTTATCCCAGGAGACAAATGACAGTGAGGGAAGCGGGTCAAAGAGGGATTCAGGAGGGACAAACAACAGAAGTGCACTTCAGGGCTTTCAAAACAAGACACGAGTTTGGCAGAACTGTCCGAACATTTCTGCCATTTATAATTTTCTTCATGACTTAATACAAATATATATTTTTAGCAATATAAACAGTCTGCATTGTAATACTTATAATAACGAAAATCTAGAAAATCAGAAACAGAATGTCCAAAGTATAGGGAAACACTGGCATAATCGGTTGATACAGTATCATGCAATCATTAAAGACCAAGACTCATGAATAGCGGACCAGTTAGCTTGGTAGAGAGAAATTAATGAAACCTTGTCATCAAGGAAAAAATATGTATGACAGAATGTTAAGTGAAAAGAAAGCAAAATGTATCTTGCTATGGTTACGACTAGACAAAATCATTTTATATGTAGATAAAAACAGGAAACAGAAAACAATGATAACATTTGATGTGTGAAGATGTTGAGGCCATGCGATGTATTCATCCAAACATTTCCTCCATGTGTTTAAAATATTTTTATAGTTGAAACAATAGGGAAAATGTATATGCACTGGAAGGACTTGATGTCACCTTCGTAACATGAGCTTTGGGCTCTGGGAAACCTGAGCGACAGTCTCATATAAATCCCTTAGTTCTTTCAGTCCCTTCTGCAGCCAACACTGACGGAGGGCCTCCTCCGAAACAGGCACCACCTTAGGTGTGAGAGACACACAGATGAAGATGTCGCACCTGTCCCTAAGAAGCTCACAGCCTTGTCACAGGCAGACGTAAAAATAAATGCGGTGGTTCCGCATGATGGGAACTGTAAGAGTGGTGTGGTCGGGAACTCTCGCAGGGTAGAGGAGGGACGGGCTGCCCAAGCCCTGGGAGTCAGGGAGGGCGTCGCAGAAAGGGTGGCTTTGCAGAGGAATCACAGACTACCAGTAGGAGTTTGCCAGGTTGGGCTGGTGGGGAGGAGGGCTGCTGGGACACTCTAGGTGAGTGGGGGCCTTGACACATGAGACCAGAGGTACCCGTGGCGAATGTCGGCTGGGGGAGGGCAGCAGGCGTAGGATGCGCGGACGCACGTGTAGAGGATGAAGCTGGAATGTGAGGCATAGGTGGCTGATGGAAAGCCTGGTGGGTCATGCCAAGGAAGTGAGGCTGTGCCCTTTGGTGACACTTACCCGCTCCAACAGGAGTATTTTCCCACCAGCATCAGTGACCATTACCTGTAGCCGCCTCATGGCCTCTGAATCCTGGTCGGCCTTCACCTTGCAGGCCACAAGCAGCTGAGCTGTGGAAGCGGCGACCTGTTTGGCGGATGAGATGAGCTTCTCCTCACTGGCATGTCCCTGAACGGAGGCATTGGCTGCCTCACAGAGGCTGCTGGTTGCAGCCGCCACCATCCGGGCCTGGGGACAGTCAACAGAGAAGTGACCTAAGGCCCAAACCTCCCTCAGGGGATCAAAAAAGCAAATGGGGAGGAGGGAGAAGGTGACTCACGGCAGAAATCAGCCCCTGTGACCACTGTCCGTCGTCTGCAGCATTGGCAGGGATGGAGCCCACCTGGAGAGTGAAGTCAAGAAATCTGCAATGAGGGCAGCAGGCCCAGGTGACCTGCAGTGACCCGTGACCCCTCAGCTCTACCTTGCCCTAGAGCCAGACTCACAGCGCCGCTCAGCACCAACTCCCACCAACAGCACTGTCCTGAGAAGGGAGCAACCCTTTCTCACGCGGGACCCTGGCACACCAAGACTGCATGGCACATGCTGGCTGGGGTCCACCTGGGCCAGAATGAGAAACGCTCAGAACAGCTCCACGTAGCTGCCAGGTACTGTGCTTCTGGGAAGCAGCTCAGGAATGATGGTTTGGGGCTGCCTTTATGAGCTTATTTCTCTGCTGACCTTTCCCACGTCAAACATGGGAGCCACCAGGCCTCCTCCTTCGAGAGCCAAGGGAACCTTAAATCTCTCCTGATTATTGACCCTGAAAGCCATGCTTTGAGTTTCTGGCAGATAATGTTAAAAAAGGGTGGTCCATTTCCCCCCTATAATTGAGTACAGACCCTTGTCTTAAGGAAATACATTTTGTCAGGGGTGGGAAGAGAAATAAGACGCTGGACGTAAGAGGAATCTCTGTTTTGACTTAGAAATCATGGCAACAAGAGAAACATTTTCTGTCTGACCCAGAAGGAGGAGCTATGAGAGGAGACACCTCTGTGCTTGCAGGAGGTGCCTGGCAAGGTAGGAGATGAGCATCTCAATCTGAATATGAAACTAGGACCCGTCCACAATTACAGGCACCACATCGGGGCTTGCAGAATGTCAGGCAAAACTCCAAGGTCCTGTGTATGATCCTATAATTCACGTAAGTCCAACTGAACCTCTTTAGCAACTTTTTAAATGCTTGAACATTTAAGTCCCTTAGAAGACAGGCAGGAACTCCACCATATTCAAGTTAGAGTCTCTGGTATCTAGCAACGTGTCTGACGTGAGTCAACTCTATAAATCTTGATACTGAAATTTTTAGGTAGGATATTCTGTTCCGTGATCGATTTGTGGCCATTATATGTTGATCAGTCAACAAGAACTTGATGAGGACACATGCTGAGGTCAGCACTCTGCTGGCCTCCTCAGCACGCTCATCTACAAGCGTAAAGACGAGAAACGTAAGACGACAGCTTGCGTGCCCAGTGGGGAGATGGACATAGTGTTGAGTAAGATGCCATAGGATGGTCTAAAAGGAGGAGGGAAGGTAGGCGGACTGGACTAAGACATGGCTAAGCTCGCGGGACTTCCTGGAGGAAGATGCACAGCCACTGGCCGGGCCAGACTTCCAGTCTGCACTACAAGTTCTCAGGTCAAGACATAATCATGTCCATCTCTCTGTGCACTGACATCAAAGGCCTTCTAATATCAAACAGAAGTGACTGATAATCATGGTGACCACATTTCCCAAACCCACAACCTGACAGGTTTCTGTGGTGCCTCTACATCTGAGAGGCTCTCTGCAAGCCACAGTGTGGATAGGACAGTTCCACGCTGTACGGTAATGACAGGGCACATGGAATAGTTTAAGATGGAAGACTGCTCCCTATCCAGAATTAGTAATGTACCATTAGTCCTTTGAATCACTAAAAAACAATTATGCTTTTATGCTAATGGCAATGGAATGAGTGACTGGAGATGAAGCAGATTACAGAAATCTCAGATTGAAAACCAGACTGGCCTTTGGACCAACAGGCTCAGGCAAGCGCTAGCTGCAAAGCTGGAGAGCATTCAGCTCAACAGTCCTAAAAAGCAAACGGCCATTTGGGGTTGGAAAGTGGTAATATAAAGCCTCCAACTGTGATGTTCATAGAGCCGTCTACCAGGAAAATAAGACAGTTTACATCTTTAAATAGTCTAATGTACAGTGGGAATATAAATGTCTTGTTCAGGCTCACTGCCTGGAATGGGATGCCTTCCTTAACAAGAAGCATATGAGAGGCCCGGAAGCCAAATGTTTTATACTGCTGGGCAAGTTGAAGCAAACAGAGTTTTCTGGTCAGGGCAGACTGGCAATTCGAGGAGGGAAGGTACAGCATGCGTTTCCCTTGGTCAGGCCAAAGGCTGGCACCTCTTTTCCTCGGCCCTTTAAGGCTCTCCCTGTGTGAGCATTCGGTGTCTTGGCCAGTGGCTTTACCTACCTTTCCTTGGGCCACCAGCTCCCTCTGGGCTGCTGAGGCCGATTTGACCAGGGCACTTGTGGCAGCAGCAATGGATTTAGCGGCTTCCAAAATCTGTTCCTCAAAATCCAGGGTCTCATCCGCTTGCTATAACCAAAGAAAACAGCATCACATGCAATTCAGATTCACAAAGGGCTCCTTCTGCCAAACCACCTACTGCTTGCTCACCTGGCCCTGCATCTGCCTACTGCTTTTCGCTGACAAACTACACCGGGGCAGGCCTAGCTGTCAGGATGCCTTTCCACCTGCCCCCACCCCTACCCCCAACTCCAAAAGGAAAAAACTGTTAGCTTGACATTCTACATAAATTTTAAATTAGGAAATTCTAAGACAGACGACTTTTCTAGAATAGGATCTTTAAAGAGATACGAATTCACCGTGCGTAAAATATACTCAAATGGTTTCAGCAACATCAAAAAACCAAAATCAAAATAATCAATAATTGAAATCAAAAGAGTGGGCCGTGGCACACACTTTCAGGGCTTAAGACTCAAAAATGGGTTGGAAAAAGGAAAGATGACTATTAGTTTTGAAAAATGTTATTGTTCTTGGGTAAACACCAAAGCGAAATAGCATTTCCATCTCTGAGGCTGAACACAGATTGAGTTATAGACCAACCACAGATCACCCAATGGTGGGAAAAAAATCAAGGCAACCTGACATCAAGGTGGAGGCTGTTCAGTCACCTGGACACCCAAGGCATGGCTTCATCTTGGGAAGAACACCGGACACAGTTGCATAGATGTCAGGCCATTAGGGTTCTGATTTAAATTCATCACCACCATGTCCTTTGCTACCCAAAAAACTCAGGAAGTTGAAGAGAAGCTTTGGGGAAGTGGGGTAAGTGTTAAGATCGTGGCACCAAGCAGGGTGGAATGGAGCTCCACAGTTTGGGGTAGTTAGGTTAGACCCCCATGGCCCCTGTGTTATATTCCATGACTCCAAGTCAACCGGGTAAGCTGTCCTTAGGTCACAGAACGTTGGAGATGTGGCTGGTACCTTTCAGGCATTAAGAGATGATGGCCAGGTATAGAAATACTTTTCTTTGTATATGTGGCAAAATATATATAACATAAAATCTACCATTTTACCCAATTTTAAGTGTACAATTCAGTGGCATTAAGTACATTCACAATGTTGTGCAACAGCAATACATTTTTAAGAGTGCCCACTGTGTGGCAAGCATTTTGTCAGGGACTTCTACATACATTGACTTAATTCTCACCAAACGCAGAACAAAATCCTATACTGAAATTGTCTTTCTCCTTATTTTTACAGTGAGAAAACTCAGGCTCAGGGAGGTGGAGTATCAGGCCCAAGGTCATGTGGCAGCATGAAAACTCTCAACCCAAATCTAAATGTCTATCTCTCCCACTCCGAAATGATGCATCTTCACTAGCCCAGGCCATCCCTTAGGGCGTCAGTAAGGGACGACTTCGTGCCAGAGGTTCAGAGTCTGCTTGCTAATGGTCCCCTATGCAAGATGGATGGATACAGACAGGACGGACACAATTCTCCTCCAGACCCCTGTTCTTAATGGCCACATCTTGAACCGTGAGAGATGTTAATCTCATGTTTACAATATGGGTTACCCTATTATTAGAGCAAAATGAAATTTCCATGTATATCTAGTGGATCTGAAGAACAATGGCAGCATTTCAGAAGTTCTGAGACAGAAGCTGTGGGTTTTTTCTTCTTTCTGATCAAGTCTTGCTAAGAGTATTCAGGACAGAAATGAATTTGGTTTCACTGGATTCATTTTGGATTGGTGGAGTACAGAATTTGGTTAGTGAAGTACAAAAACAACTCATTATAAGACACTCTGGCATAAAAGGTACTCTTATACACAGGCACGAAATAAAGTACATTAGGCTCTGAGATATATATATATATACGCACACACATATATATGTGCATATATGTATATATATGTGCATGTGTATATAAATACTTTAATGACTTTGAGATTCAGAGTTTTTTTGGAAATTCATTCTGCAAAAGAAAGTCAAGTACATCACAGATAAAGGCACTAGGGAAATCACAGACTTTCTGAACCCAAAGGGAGCCCCCCTCATTCTGCAGAGGGGGAAACGGAGGCCCACTGGCTCAGGTCTCCTAGACCGTTGCCTCAGGCGGCCTCCGCTACACTACGGGTTCCAAGCCTGAGTCCACTTTACAGTGTGGAATACTCAGTCAGATTTCTGATTTCCCAGATTTTTAAGATGCGTAAAAATAGAATTTCCTTAAAAGGAAGTGCTAAGTCTTAGCCTGGGTAGATCTGACAGAATCATCTCATTACAACTGACTGTAAGGACCTCTCCCACATCTGCTGTTGCCCCGGAGTTTTATTTATTTATTTGTAAGAAACATATTTGAAATAGATATTGAACTTGGAAATATTTTTGGCACCCATAAATCTTTCTGGTAATGGCAATTGTTGTAATGCTTTTTGATGGTTTTTTAAAATTTTTCTTTCCATAACATCTCTATGCTTTAAAAGACACAGCAGAAAGCCTAATCTCTGGGAGACATTTGCACTGATTAGAAAATACTAGAGAGTTTCCCGAGAAAGGCGACTGGGATGGCAGCAGGGATGGAGGGTGGATTTTAGATGCTACAGCTGGGCAGAGAACCATGATGAGACCTGCCTTCTGCCTGCGGAGCCCTATCCTCCTGCATGCCAGCTTCGTCATTAAGATGAAATGCCCGCCCCATCTATCCTGCTGACAGCAGATATCAATACTTAATGTTTCCTCGTATCGTACAGTTTCTCGCCTAAGAGAAAATGGGCCCTCTCCAAGCCCAAGCACACCAGCCAGTGTGCCCGTCAGCCCAGCTCCTGCCAGCACGCAGAATGGGATTGGGGAGGGGAGGGGGGAGGCCCTGGGAGAAGGGAGGGAGGACACACACCTAACCAACACTGCAAAAAGGAGAGGATGGGCTTGGTTTTCCAAGGACTTTCCTAAACAGAAGGATCACAATTAAAATGCAGTATTTGTTAACAGAACAATCCCCTGGGGGGTGAGGAGACTAAGAGGACCAGGGCTGGGGGTGGGGGCCGTGGCAGCCCCTCTCACAGAGCTCTCATTCCCATCTCCTCACCACTGACGCTGACTTGCTAGGTCTCTCAAGGTCCTCTTGAGCTGAGCTATTTTCCCGACCTAAGGTCACTCAGCTCTGTCCTTGTGGTTTATGGAATATTAAGGACCCTGATACCCTCACTACTTAAGTGTTTTTCCACCGCAACAATAGGATTATGTAAAGAGCTGTTAAGACTGTTAAAATAATCTTTTAAAGATTATGACTAATCCTATGCATGTGACTATTTATATTTCTTTTGTTTTTCCTTTTTTTTTTTTTTGGAGACAAGGTCTCACTCTATTGCCCGGGCTAGAGTGCGGTGGCATCATCGCAGCTCACTGCAACCTCACACTCCTGGGCTCAAGCGATCCTCCTGCCTCAGCCTCCCAAAGGGCTGGGATTACAGGCGTGCACCACCACGCCTGGCCTGTATTTCTTTATAACTACTGGCATCAAGAGACAGCCAGGAACTTCAGAAAATGTTTTTACTAAACAGGCTACACTGACAGCCCTTGCTGCAGAATCACACGATGACGTGGTTAAAGAGGCAGACTCTGTTTCAGTGGGTCTGGGGTGGGGCCCGGGAATCTATTTCTAATGGAGGTGATTATGGACGACTCTGTGGGAGATGCCAGCCTGGACTAAGGAGAACAAACCCCAGTTAACTTCCTCCCACCAGCCTGTGATCTCCAGGGCACAGATTGTGTTTGATTCAACTTAATGTTTCTCTAGCACAAAAATCAGGGGGAGAAGCCCGTGTGATAAACGTTTGTTGAATGAATATATCCATTCTAAACGAGTTTCTCAAGTGCCAGAGTTCAGCCAGAGGACAATGTGCATGGTTAAGAGGAGGAGAAATACACACAGTAAGCAGCCATATCATTAAATGTCCACTCCTGATCCACGGCAGGCAGATGCATGCATAGCTGTGAGCAAATTCCTGCCCGGTTTACGGTTAATCATACGCTCTACCCATGTCCCTCAGCTAGCATTCACAGTGTGTGACACTTAGTCATGCATATACAAATGTAAACACAGCGGCATTTTCCCGAGAGGCACTCTTAACAAGACAGCACTGGGAAAAAGGGTTAACATATATAGAAATTAAGAATTCCATGAAGGTATTGGCTGCTGCCTCTCAGTCTGAAACTATCTTCTCCTCCTTTGGTACAATGTTCTTTTCCCCTTTCCCCTCCATTTGGAAAGGTTACTGGCTGGGTCTGCACTAGCTCTTAGCAATTATCTTCCTGGACTGTCTAGCAGATGCTAGCTGAGGATGGATTTATCTTCACCTGGGCTTTTTGGTATCTTTGAGAAAGGTCTGAGCACCCTTGTGCTGATTTTTTTCCTGCTAGCTGATCTCCTGTAGAGCCCATCTTTAAAAAATTTAGTGGCCTGCTGAGATCCCTCTTGGTAGAGGCTACACTTTGTGTGGGCTCCTTTCCTGTCTGTTTCTCCTATCGAGAGAATATCTGAGATCCCTACTTTTGCTCTGATAGGCATGTTTCAGGAGCTAGAGGAAATGGTGGTGGGGGAAGCAGTGTGGAAAGAGGAGAAGGGGCAGCCTTTCCTCACATTTATTTTGGTTTTTGGCCTTTCATGGATTCTGAGAACATAATCTCTGCACTGATTCATTCATCTTCGAAACCTACCTTCCCTCCTAACCTATCTGCTAGGGGTGTTATAAGTAAATGATTAGTAAATGTAAAGCATGACTTACAGTAGATGCTTAAGAGCTATTAGCAATTAATTTCATTATTACTTCTAATACCACATATATTTTTGTGGTTTTAAAAATTGTTTTTCAGGATTTGGGCTAAAGAAATTTTTCTGTCTGAACAACATTTTACACTCATAATTCTCATAAAGTTTCTTCCTGCCATTTCTGATTACAACCTAAAATGATTATAAATAAAATCCACGAATCAACGATAAACGAAGTGTCAAGCAACACAGCACGTGGTTGGGCAGTTCTCCCAGCTCCCCCTCAGCGCCAGACCAGCAGC